GCAAAACGTTGTCTCAATCAATCATTCAATAAAGTTGATACTTGGAACAAGTTTTGTGATTACTTCTATTTGATAGGTAGGAAAAAACAAATGACCACATTCGATTATCATGAAACCTATGAAATATTTAGACATTGCTGTATAAACATTTGCAAAATGAATAAATGAGATATAAGATAGTTTCAATCTGAAAGGATATACAGTTAACCACAGATAAGAGGAAGAATAGTTTATATTGTTGTCTATAAGTATAGCTTCTTTTTCTCTCTGTCTTTGGAGGAAGATATGCATTCATCAGGTGGGAATCCCACCTGCTGCTCTTACTGTAACATCTGCCTCTTCTCCTCCCTGCCTGTGCCCAAGTCACACAGGGCTTCAGTTAGTGACCCAGGTAGGTGAGGTCTTTTTCCCCACTCTCCACCTGAGTGGCTCCTTTTTATCCTTCAGGTCTCACTTTAGATATCCCCATGACAGAGAAACCTTGCCTGAACCCATTGTTTATATCCCTGTGCTCAACAGATTATCATACCATTTTATTTCTTGTATTTATAAAATTTACCATAAAACGTAGTTGTTTTCTTCATTTTTTGGCTATCTGTAAGCTTCATAAGAAAAAGTAATATAACTGCTTTCCTCAATATTGTATCTTAGGGCACAGCACAGATGATTAATAAATATTTGTTAAACAAACAAAAAACATAGATGGGAAAGAGGCTCATAAAACTGAGAAGATTTTTTAAATGAACTTCTAGCTGAGCTCTGTAGCCCTATTATAGTTAAAGACTTCTGTGTGTCCATGAGCAACTCACAATCTCATACAGATAGTGACTTCCCCACCACCCCCAGTAACTATAAAAGAATACTGTAGTCTACAGAATAGTCCATAGGGAACTCAGTTTTATAATCTGAAAAAACTTAAAAGTTGAAACTTTGCCCAACCTAAAAAACTTAGATTATTTCTTACATTGTACGTTTGGTTTTTGCAGCAAAAGTCTCCTTCATGAAAAGAAAATGTTTTGAATTCTAGTTGAGAATGACAAATATGAAAATGGACAAGGCATCACATATTGGCCTCTTGCCCTGTTTAAAAAGGGTGAAAATGGAAGTAGCTAAGCTGCAAAGTTCCTCTGTGTGTGAATAATGTTGACACATGAAACAAATGTCTAAAGTGCTTCACAAATGGCACTGTTGTTCCGAAGCATTGTTTACAGTTGTTCCACTATTAATTTAGGATGAATAGTCTAAATGGTGGGTAAGATTTTTAATTTTTATTTGTATTAATAGTTTCACTTTATTCAAAGGGGCTATTATCAAGTATTCTCTGTTAATCATGTGTACTTCTAATGGCTTTCTGTGATAGTAAATAAGACTTTCCTGTGGGCTGCCATTGCATTTTTACTAAATAGTTTAGCATCTAGTTAAGAACCAGGAATAAAAGAGTACTAAGACTGTGTCACATACTCTTAGGCAAATCACAGTTGCCGAGAGCGTGTTTCACTATCTCTTAAGTGATTCCTTCTTATTGATCAATCCCCTTCTTCTGGGTGTTATAGGGAACTCAGTATTGGGTCATTTTTATGATTGACCATCAGTACCATATGGTACTATTACCCACATCTAATGGATCCTTCCTCTTAGTGGTAGAATTATTTGTGGGTGCTCTTCAGACACAATGTAAAAGTTCTGAAACAACTCCTGAGGGTCTCTAGCATTTAAAAAAAATAGCTGCTATCACATATATTACTATTTTGTGTGTCTTACCACTATGCATTTTTTAAAGAGCTATATGGAAGGTATTTTGAATACTTTGTCTCAGAGATGTCAAAATAACTTTCCTAGGACACAAAGTTAGTAGGAGGTAGAACCGAAATTGAGAAATTGGTATGTCTGGCTCCCAAAGTTCTCTCTTCTGATTCAGACTTTCTGATTTTGGATGTTTACACTGAGCAGAGTGCACATTATTGTGCTCTGGACCTCCTACTTTGATATTTGTTAGCGTAGTAGTTAGAAACCTGTTGCTTGGGTTTGAATTCCTACTCTGACATTTCTGAGGTTTGTGACTTTAAGCAAATTATTTTAATTCTCAATGCCTGACATTTCTTATCTAGCTCATCAGATAATTGTGAGAATTAAATGAAGTAATGTAAAACACTTAGAATAGATGTACTTATTTATTATTGTTGTTCTTTTTTTGTATTGTAATACGTCAGTTTTCTCTAAGTACTTTTGGAATCTCCAGCTAATGCTTTATGTTTTTAGTTAATACAATCATTGTAAGTGATTTCTAGATGTGTAATTTTGTTGACAATATAAATAAGTTTATAACTTTATAATTTCCATAATAATCTATACTCTGAAGCATGCCTTAAACAGAGGAGTTAATACAAAGTGTTGAGAAAGGGATGAAGCTGGAGCTACACCTAGGTAAGGATTATTCCCCAAACCTCTCTACCATCGAACTGGATTTGTAAAAGATAAAAATGATCATCATTATCTCATTATATAAACCCTTAAAGATTTTTCTTTTGCTACTTTTTCATTCATCTATTTAAAGATATTTATTGAATATTTTGCTGTGACATGCACTACTCTGCATGCTGATTTAAGCAACAATAAAAAGAAAACAAAAAAATAAAATTTAGAAAAGCAACCAAAAAAAGTTTACTCTTTTGGAGCTTAAATTCTAGTAGGGCAGAAAGATAAGAAGTAAGTGATATTGTACATTGGAAAATGATAATTACTTTAAAAAAATAAGCAGGGAGGGACTGTTAGTAGCAGTGAATCCATATCGGCCTGCAGCAACTCAATTCTTGCCTCCTTGGAGAAAAGGATTTGGCCAGAGGATCGTAAGGCAGAGTGAGAGATCTATGCAAGTTTTAGAGCAGGAATGAGAGTTTATTAAAATGTTTTAGAGCAGGAATGAAAGGAAGTAAAGTACACTTGTAAGAGGGCCACACGGGCAACTTGACAGGGTCAAGTGCGCTGCCTGGCCTTTGACTTGGGCCTGTATACATTGCTGTGGTCCTGGGGTTTGCATTTCTTCTTACCTGATTTTTCCTTGGGGCAGGCTATCTGCATGTGCAGTGGCCTGCCAGCTCTTGAGAGGGATTGTATGTGCAGTGTGTTTACTGAAGTTGTGCATGTGCTCATTTGGGTCATTTTTTGTCATACCAGTTGAGTGTTCCTAGAAGGAGGTCATATAACAGTTAAACTCTGCCATTTTGCCTCCTAGCACGCATACTTGAGCCAGCTGACACAACTCTTGAAATCTTATCAGGAAGCCGCTGATCACCAATTTCAGGTGTTTTCTATTCAGGAGACTGCCTTTCCCTGGCACCAGCTGCAACCAGTTAAATTATTTTAGACAGTTTAACAACTACCTGACCATCACCTGATGGTCACCTGACATTGCTGGGAGTCAAGGGATACCTTCTCCTGCCCTCTCTTGTCTGCCTAGCTACTTACTCAAACAGGAGGAAAGGGAAAACCAAGAGAGACAGGTGATAGGAGGGAGTGTTGGATTTTTAAGTGGGATAATCTGGGAAAATCTTATGAAGATGGCGACATCTGAGCAAAGATTTCAAGGTCATTTAGGTGAGCCATGTGAATAGATATCTGAGAAAAGAGCATGCCAGGGCAGGGAGAATCAAAAAGAAAAGCTCTGGAGTAGGAATATACCTGGCACTGTCAGGGGTTAGCAACAAGATCTGTGTGACTGAAATAGAGAAATCAAGGAGGATGGTAGTGGGAGATGAGATCAAAGACAAAGATGAGATTAAAGTGAGCCACGTTGGGTGGGGTCTTTTAGGTCAAAGTAGTAATTTTGGCTTTGACTCTGAGTGAGATGAAGAGCCCATTCATGTTAAGAGTAGTAACATTATTTGCCTGATGTTGTAACAGGATCTGGCTGCTATATTGAGAATAGACTTTAGACATAGGCAATGGTGGAAGCAGGGAGACCTTGTTAGGAGGTGGTTGTAATCCAAGTGAGAGAAGATGGTGTCTCAGTTGGTAAAAGTGCTGGTGGTGATACATGAAAAATTAGAAATTAGCTATAAATTTGCTGACAGATTTGTAGGGGATGTTAGACAAAGAGAGACTCTTGCTTTTTACTTTTCTTTCTTACTAAATGCAAGTCATAATTTTTATTTCATGCAATATAAATAAAACCATTTTTACCAGCCCTAAAGTTTCTCTTCTTAATTTACTGGGGATTTTACTTCACTCTGCAGGAAATCCAGCACATTGTGATGGATGCTACACAGAGTGGGAATTACTGGTGCTAAACAATCATTTTATTAGTTTAAACCAGGACTCAGCAAATTATGGCCCAAAAACCAAATTTGGCTCATTGCCTATTTTTATAAATAAAGTTTTATTCAGACACATCCATACCTATTCATTTGCATATTATCTAGGGCAGCTTTCTGCTACAAAGGCAAAGGATCTTAGAGAACAATAGAGACTAAAATATTTACTATCTGGCCCTTTAATGAAAAAGTTTGCTGGCCCTTGGTTTATACTGCTATGAGTTACAGAAAATTTTTCCTCATCTTTTTCCAGTCATTCAGAATGTTTAAATTTGAAAACAAAAATTAAAACAGGGCATGAAATGATATTAGAGAGAACGAAGAGGCACTGTTCAAATACTAACATCAACTTCTTCCTCTATGTTAATCTATTCATTCGTTTGCTTTGCATATTCACTTTCCTCCAGATCTCTGTAGTGCTCTGTCTGTGTTGGGAAACAAGTGCAGCTGACTGGCTTGAACAAAAAAAAGTATATTTTCTCAACAGTGAAAATTTACTATAGGAATGAATATTGGATGTTAAGAAACTAATTTTTGAATTTCATAATCTTGATAGAAAATAAAAGATGAGTACCAGCATCAATGTAAGCATCAATCTTTATGAAGAATTTGGCATTTTTCTTAAGACTTTGTGTAATCCAGTGAAGCAGTACAAATAAGTTAGACCTCCAATGTTGTTTGTTTTAACAGGTCAATAATGACGGATCTATACTACCTCAGTCAGACAGATGGAGCAGGTGATTGGCGGGAAAAAGAGGCCAAAGATCTGACAGAACTGGTCCAGCGGAGAATAACATACCTTCAGGTAAGAAGGTTGGGTTAAGAATAAATTGGAATGGAAAAAAAAAAGATCGTCATATAACTAAGAGTAATAATTTCAGTTAGGTTTTAGTCTTCCTGGCCCTTGCCTTTTGAAAATAATTGCTTACACATTTTACATATTTATTCAGAAAGTCACCATGTTATGCCTTGAGTGGAATACAAAGATGGCTAAAACAAAGACCCTGTCCTAAAGGGAGCTGCTTTTTACACACACGCAATACAGAACAAATATAGCATGCTACCTTTTTTAGGAGAGAAACAGATGAAATGCTTATTGGAGTGCTGAGTAAGGAGACATCAGGGATAGTTTTGTGGCTAATGTATTGTTTGAACAGAACTATAAAAGATAGTTAAGTAGGATTGGGACACACAGAAATGAAGGAAAAGAATGTACCAGCTGGAGGTTATCATGTAAGCAGTGGCTCGTAACTGGGAAAGAACGGTACAGGAACTCATATGATAAGTGTGGCAATTCACTTTGACTGGAATTTTAGCTTGCGTGAAAGGAGGGATGGAAAATAAGTTGGAAAGGTAGGCTTGGAAACAGATTACAGAGGTTAAGTTTAATGGTACATAAACAGTAAGTGGTCACTGAAAGATTTTATTTGCTTTATAAATGTTACTATAACAAATAGTAAGTTTTGGTAAACATCAAGTCTCAGTCCCTTTTAAATTAATTTCTCCTAATTTTTTGTGTTCTTTCTAGTTCTTATTAATATGCACACACCATCTTACATATTTTTAAGGAAATAATTTCTAAGCATCTTTCTATTTTGGAGTCACCACCTGCTTTTGAAAGGTTTTATATATAATAATGGTATGATGAGAGTGGTACTTAAGTGATACTAATTTGGAAGTTGTATTTTAGTTGAACTTGATTATTTGAAGAGACTAGAAGCAGGGAGACCATTTAAGATAAGAGGACCATAGTGCAGGTAGGAAGTATTAAGGTATGTAGCAGTTTGCATTGGAAGTGAAGAGACAAATTTGAGAGAGATTGGGAAGATAAAATTGATAGGCCTTTCCAAATAGATGAAAGAACTGAAATGGCTGGGATAATGGGAACATCATTATCTGATGAGGCACTGAGAGACAGAATAGTTTTCAGGGGAAAACAATGAATCAGTAAATCTTCAAATCTCAAAAATGTTTGAAGTCGAAATGACCATGGAACATCCCCCACCATCATCCTTCTCTAATGCCGTGGATGGCATACTATCTGTGTATTTTCTACTTTCCCTGTAAGATTAAAGTGTTGTATAAAAGCAAAAGGACAGCCAGTGATGTGGTTCTGTGTATTTTAAGGTGCACATTTTTCTACCTTTAAATAGGAAAAAATAGAAAATCAAGTGTTTAAAGATATCGTTAAAAACCAAACTGATCTTGGCATGCTGTCTTGTTCTCATACCCACATGGCCATTCATCAGAGAGGTGTGTGCAGAATGAGAAATACTTCGCCTCCTGTAGGGAAGAGGTAATTATCTCCTATCAACTAGAACCTCATTCAATGAACTATAAACAGCTGGTGGTGCAGAACCATCATCCTTATTTAAAATGGAAATAACGGTGATTTCTGAACCTTCCATTTCCTCATATTCACTAAATTTTCCACCAACTATATTTAAACTGTGATCTGGTGATAGTTCAGTTACCTAAACTGTAATAAGTACCTGCCATCTGTTTTAGTTTCTTTTCTCTTTCTCTTGGTTTTTAGGTGGCCAAGTACTTTCACCTGCAGTGCTGATTTGATCCTCTATATGCTGATTTTTTTGGTTCTATATTAGAGAATTTCACTTGCAAATCTTGCTAATGATTTAAAGCTACATTGGCTTTTTAAATCTTTTCAACTACAGCAAAACCTAGCACTTTACTTGGACCTTAACTTCAGTTTCAGATATTGCCATTTAACAAGTTACTACTTTCATGCTTTTCCTTTGCCCTGCATTCCCCCATTGGAAGGAAAAGGTGATTCTTTAATATTCAAGAAGATGGGGAAAATCTCAGTAGGATAAATGTGCATGGAAAAGTATTTTTCTTTTTTTTTCCCATAGGTTATTGGGATACAGGTGGTATTTGATTACATAAGTTCTTTAGTGGTGCTTTGTGAGATTTTTGGGCACCCATCACCCAAGCAGTATACACTGCACCATATTTTTGGTCTTTTATCCCTCACTCCCCTCCCACCCATACCTCTAAGTTCCTAAAGTTCATTGTATCATTCTTACGCCTTTGTCTCCTCATAGCTTAGCTCCCACATATCAGTGAGAACATATGGTGTTTGGCTTTCTGTTCCTGAGTTACTTCACCTGTACCTGTAAGTCCCCAAAATTCATTGTATATTCTTATGCCTTTTTGTCCTCATAGCTTAGCTCCCACATATCAGTGAGAACATACTGTGTTTGGTTTTCTATTCCTGAGTTACTTCATTTTGAATAATAGCCTCCAGTCTCATCCAGGTCACCGCAAATGCCATTAATTCATTCCTTTTTATGGCCCAGTAGTATTCTGTCTCGTGTGTGTGTGTGTGTGTGTGTGTGTGTGTGTGTGTGTGTGTGCGCGCGCGCGCACGCGCGCGCACGCATATATACGCACAACAGTTTCTTTATTCATTTGTTGATTGATGGGCATTTGGGTTGGTTCCACAATTTTGCAGTTGTGAATTGTGCTGCTGTAAATGTGTGTGTGCAAGTATCTTTTTCATATAACAACTTCTTTTACTGAGTAGATACCCAGTAGTGGGATTGCTGGATCAAATGGTATTTCTACTTTTAGTTCTTAAAGGAATCTCCACACTGTTTTCCTTAGTGGCTGTGCTAGTTACATTCCCACCAGCAATGTAGAAGTGTTCCCTAATCACTGTATCCACGCCAACATGTACTGTTTTTTGATTTTTTGATAATGGCCATTCTTAAAGGAATAAAGTGGTATCACGTTGTGGTTTTGATTTGCATTTCCCTGATTCTTAGCAATGTTGAGCATTTTCCCATGTTTGTTGGTCATTTGTAGATCTTCTTTTGAGAATTATCTATTCATATCCTTAGCCCACTTTTTGATGGGATTGTTTTTTCCTTACTGATTTCTTTGAGTTCTTTGTAGAGTCTGTATATTAGTCCTTGGTCAGATGCATAGTTTGCAAAGATTTTTTTTCCTGCTCTGTGGGTTGTGTGTTTACTCTGCTAACTGTTCCTTTTGCTGTGCAAAAGCTCTTTAGTTTAATTACGTCCCAGCTATTTATCTTTGTTTTTGTTGCATTTGCTTTTGGGTTCTTGGTGATAAAATCCTTGGCTATGCCAGTGTGTAGAAGGGTTCTTTCAATGTTATCTTCTAGAATTTTTATAGTTTCAGGTCTTAGATTTAAGTCCTTAATCCATCTTTAGTTGATTTTTGTGTAAGGTGAGAGATGAGGATCCAGTTTCATTCTTTTACATGTGGCTAGCCAGTTATCCTAGCACTATTTGTTGAAAAGGGTGTCCTTTCTCAGCTATAAGTTTTTGTTTGCTTTGTTGAAGATCAGTCGGCTCTAAGTATTTGGCTGTAAATAAATTTGTGGGTTCTCTATTCTGTTACATTGGTCTATATGCCTATTTTATACCAGTACTGTGCTGTTTTGGGGACTATGGCCTTATAGCATAGTTGGAGATCAGGTAGTGTGATGCCTCCAGATTTGTTCTTTTTGCTTAGTCTTGCTTTGGCTATGTGGACTCTTTTTTGGTTCCATAAGAATTTTAGAATTGTTTTTTCTAATTCTGTGAAGAATGATGGTGGTATTTTGATGGGGATTATGTTAAATTTGTCAATTGCATTTGGCAGTATGGTCAGTTTAACAATATTGATTCTACCCATCCATGAGCATAGGATGAGTTTCCATTTGTTTGTGTCATCTGTGTTTTCTTTCAGCACTATTTTGTAGTTTTCCTTGTAGAGGTCTTTTGCCTTCTTGGTTAGGTATATTCCCACATATTTTATTTTATTTTTTTGCAGCTATTATAAAAGGGGTTGAGTTCTTGAACTGACTCTCTGCTTGGTCACTGTTGGTGTATAGAAGAGCTACCGATTTGTGTATATTAATGTATCCGGAAACTTTGCTGAATTGTTTTATAACTTCTAGGAGCTTTCTGGAGGAGACTTTAGGATTTTCAAGGTAAACAATCATATTGTCATCAAACAGTGACAGTTTGACTTCCTCTTTACTGATTTGGATGCCCTTTCTTTATTTCTGTTGTCTGATTGCTCTGGCTAGGACTTCTAATACTATGACAAAGAGGAGTGATGAGAGTGAGCATCCTTGTCTTGTTCTCAGATGGGATGCTTTCAACTTTTCTCCATTTACTATTAAGTTGGCTGTGGGTTTGTCACAGATAGTTTTTATTACATTAAGGTATGTCCCTTGTATGCCAATTTTGCTGAGAGTTTTAATCATAAAGGGATGCTGGATTTTGTGAGTGCTTTTTCTGCATCTATTGAGATGCTCATGTGATTTTTGTTTTTAATTCTGTTTATTTGGTATATCACATTTATTGACTTGTGTATGTTAAACCATCCCTGCATCCCTAGTGTGAAACCCACTTGAACATGGTGGATTATCTTTTTGAATGTTGTGGGATTCGGTTAGCTGGTATTTTGTTAAAGATTTTAGTGTCTTATTTTCATCAGAGATACCGGTCTGTGGTTTTCTTTTTTGGTTTTGTCCTTTCCTCATTTTGGTATTAGGGTGATGCTGGCCTCAGAGAATGAATTAGGGAGGGTACCTTCTTTCTCTGTCTTGTGGAATATTATCAAAAGGATTGGTACCAATTCTTCTTTGAATGTTTGGTAGAATTCAGCTGTGAATCTGTCTGGTCTTCAACTTTTTTTTTATTGTTGGTAACTTTTTAATTACCATTTCAGTCTCTCTGCTTGTTATTGGTCTGTTCAGGGTATCTAATTCTTCCTGATTTAAGCTAGGAGGGTTGTATTTTTCCAGGAATTCATCTATCTCCTCTA